CTCCTCCTCTTCATCTCTCCCTTTAATCTCCTCATCACTCGCGCTCCTCCTCATGTTGTGCTGCGTGTCTGTTAAACATTCTCTTCCTCGCGCAGACGGGCAGCAGTCGGCCTGTCGTCCAGCTGCGCAGGGCTGTGGTACTTGTATGTTACTTACTACCACAAGTATAATGTTGAGGTATGCCCAGAAAAAACGTTTATAGCCCCGGCCTGTATTAGAGACCGGCCATTATTTACCTCCTCTGACAGCGAGACCGGTCATTATTAGAGACCCGGCCGCTATTGGAATACAGGCCAATATTAGAGAATTTACGGTAAGTCTAAGTATTACCTTTGTAACATTTGAAAAATATAGATATTTTTTCGGGGCTGTCTCTCCTCCTCCCTTGGTGGGGGTCGGATTTCCTGGGATGGCCCCTCCTTGGTGCCTTCGCTCCAGGCGCTGGACTGTGCATTTCGGGGGGCGCCTCTTTGGCTCTTCACAACCACTATTGAGCATTTTTCCTTTGGATAAATTTTACATCCACAGATGCACTCTCACAAACAACTACAGGTGCTTGGTTCCAGGTACTCAGAGATTAACTTCCATACAGAAAGCCCATATTCTGATCTTTACGTAACACAGAGTACATGTCAGATTAAATAATACTACTTCAGCGATAGTATCTAGGTGTTACTTTATTGTATGTCTGGTACCATGTTTGTTGGTTGTGCTGTTCTTTTTACATCTCAAGCAAACTGAAAATGTTTTATCATTATGTCCCTTTCATCTCCTCTTTCTTTCATCTTTTGTCCTTTTTTTCTGTTTTTCCTGTTCTATTCACATTGCACTGTCCATATAATCTGTAAAACTCCCTGAATAATTATAATAAAGCAACTTACATGCATGAAACATGCAGAACACTATGGCAATTGCCCAAGTGCTCCACTTGTGAAAGTAAAATCCGTTGGGCTCTTTTTGGCAAGGATATTTTGATGGTAAAAAATAATGTCAATGTAATAACAAGAAATGCCAACTTACCCAAATATATTAAGAAAAAAATTAAAAGTGCTTCTATAAGAAATTCATGAAAAACATTCAGAGTGAAAGAAACACCTTGTTTTGATACAGCATAACCCTAGAGGCATTAATGCTGATACTGGCACTGACATTTTCTAGTTTATAAATCTAAATTTAATTGTTAACTAGGTTTACTAACTTTTTACCTTTATTCTTGACTTGTTAACTTAATTTTTTTAAGTTACAAAACCCAAATCAACACATCTGTGGTCATTGACAACTGATGTGATAACGAATTGGTCACTGTGGAATTCAAACAGAAATATTCTTCTCAGTTTAATGCCAATTTTAGACAACACCTTTTTAACGCCTTGAAAAAAAAGTCATTATCTTTCATATATTAAATAAATAATTCCACTAAAATAAAGGAACCCAGCTGGAAAATGAGCTCCTGTTTACTCCCTGTGGGTGATTCCTGACACACGGTTTGAATTTGACTCCGTGTCTTTTGGAAGCAGCAGTTCAGCTGACCTGTAGCCGTCCACCTTTTTTCCACATCTAAAGACTTCCTTTATTTCATGGAAAATTTGATATCTCTGATGTCATTAATCTCTTCATTATTTTGAGTAAATCAGTTCATAAATGCAAAAAAAAAAAAAAAAAGTCATTTTAAGGTTTTCTGTCTTTCTGATTTATTTTTGTGAAATATTTCAAGTAAATCTTTAAAATAAATAAGAAAAATGCCATAATTTGCCTAAAAAAGGTAAAATTCTTTCTGGTTTAAAGGAGAATTGACACTCACACTGAGCCTGGTTCTGGTTCTGCAGGAGGTTTCTTCCAGTTACATTTTTTTTTTCTCTCAACACTCGCCACATGCATGATCTGTATGAGGGATTGCTGCAG